AATATATGTAAGTTTAAGAGTTATATTTTAGAGTAAGCTGTAAATTTATTTCAAAGTTACATGCTTCTACTTTCTCTAAACATGAATGACATATTCTTGTGCCAGGAAACCACTACCTAAAAAGATTAATTACAACTAGTTATTTAAGATGCATTTTGATCAAGAGATCTAGAAAAGAGTATTGGAAGCCTATTTATATATATATATATATATATATATATATTATGACTAATGGTAACATGGTATTGTTCATGTAAAATGTAAGAAATAAGAATGGCTCTTTGCTACAATTCCAAGAAGACATATAAGATGTCATAATGGTTACCTTAAGTTCATCATTGAAGTCCTATCTTTCCTCTAGTAGAGGCTATAATAGTTTATTTGATTGCAGCTATATCCCCATCTTTGATAGTCCCCTGCATCATGTCACCATATACAGCAAGAAGTGAGCATACTTTCAATCTTCTTTAGTGCATCATCTACCAAATATTATCTTAACAAATACAATACAACAACATTTTGCTTCAAATATTTATAATTTTAACAAAGGTATTACTTTTTATATATCACCAAACACCCTTCCTCCAAGTTTGCACTCAACATTAAAATTATTTGTGGTTATTCTTTTAAATAGTTGTAGTTGTAATTTTGTGGACATTGCTATAACTCAGTTGATCTTATGTAGAGATAAGTAAATAATAAATTTATAGAAACCAGTCATGAATGTGTAAATATATTCTATAGAGCCAATAAGATATTAGATCGACAAAAGTTAAAAAAAATAATAAAAAAGTCTTCATAGGAATCCATGTTAGTTGGTCCATCTTGTGTTTAGCTAATTAGTTGCTACTTGCTTTCTTTGATCTGCAACACCATAAAGAAGTGACGGAGAAAAGCATGGTGACCGGTCTATGCCCTTTAAGGGAAGTTGCAGCAATTGATTCAACTACACAAAATAACTTAGAATTCACATTGGGAAAGTATGGAACAGACATTGGAAGTTTAAGATGTTAACTTAATCCCAAACATATGCATAAGAATCCCTAATCAAACATGTGAATTCATATGATACAACAAATTAAGTAAAACTTACTTGGTGGAGTGTTTGTCTATATTCCACTTGAAGAAGCCATGAAGAACTAATCTTGGTTTCCTTTTGATTGTTTCTCTTCGTTGCTTAATTGATGGATTGATTGCTCATATGTTTTGTTCCCTCTAATGATCAGAGAATTCCATTGAGAGTCTTGAGGGAAAAAGCAACGTGAGAAAACAAAAAGGGATAACCACCACTATATATATGTAATCCAAGGGGTGCAACTCTCCATCAAATTARCTCCCCTATATTTGCACTCAAGTCCCTCCAGAAATTATAGGGACCAAAATGCAATAATGGARTAATATBAATAAAAAHTATAYATGYGTAAATAAACATACAAATGATCAAGGACATAATTTATAGGATTCCAACATTCTCCCACTTGGCCGAAAGATCATTTGCATATTTAACATAGAGACATATAGCCTGATGGTATCTACAAGTTTGTCTGTAACAAAAGTTATTGTGCACACTAAACAAACAAATAAATAAGGACAAACTTTGTTTGAGGAAAAGCAAATTACTGCGCTTTAAAATAATACATAAGTTACGTAAATTAATTATGTATTGAGTAGAATATTACATCATACAAGATCTTGTTGTAAACCCATTTTGACGACATGTTCGGTGAACACCTTAGGGGGTAGACCTTTCGTGAGTGAATCTGCTAGCATATCATGTGTACTCACATACTCAATACTAATGTTTCCTTCCTCAACTCTTTCTCGCTCAAATAAGTATTTTGTGTCAAGATACAATCCTGCACCACTTGAACTGTTACTGTTCGAGAAACTAACAGCTGCATTGTTATCGCAATAAAGCTTCAATGGGCTTGATATAGAATGTACAACTTTAAGTCCACCTATCAAATTCCTCAATAGCATTCCATGAAAACTTGCATGATAACAAGCCACATATTCCGCCATCATAGTCGAGGTAGTCGTCAACTGTTGCTTACAACTTCTCCATGAAATCGGCCCTTCTGATAGCATGAAAATGTATCCTGATGTSGATTTCTTATCATCTYTGCATTTAGCGAAATCGGAGTYTGAATATCCTATTACCTCAAGATTATCCGATCTCCGATATGTTAGTTTGTATCCTTTTGTCCCTTGTAAATATCGTAGGACTTTCTTAGCAGCTTTCCAATGGTCCAAACCAGGATTTGATTGATATCTCCCCAGCATACCGGCCACATAAGCAATGTCTGATCGGGTACAAACTTGAGCATACATAATGCTTCCAACTACAGAAGCATATGGAATTAGTCTCATTTGGGCAAGTTCTTCCTCGGTTCTAGGACATTGATAAGCCCCAAAATTATCACCTTTGACGACGGGAGCCACTGAGGRTGAGCAATRTTGCATAWTGAAACGATTTAATATCCTCTCAATGTAGGCCTTTTGGGACAGACCCAATATTCCATGATCATGGTCTCGGTGAATTTCTATTCCTATCACATAAGAGGCTTCGCCGAGATCCTTCATGTCGAAGCTCGCAGATAGAAAACGTTATAATCATGCAACATATCCATATTATTTCCTGCTAGTAGGATGTCATCAACATAAAGTAGTAATATGATGAATTTGCTCCCACTCATCTTAAGGTATATGCATTGATCTACTTGGTTCTTTTTGAAATGATTAGTTTTCATCACTTCATCAAATTTAAGGTACCATTGACGAGACGCTTGTTTTAACCCATAAATTGATTTATTCAATTTACATACCAAATGTTCTTTCCCTTTGGCTTTGAAACCTTCAGGTTGTGACATGAACACACTTTCATGTAAGTCACCATTAAGAAATGCAGTTTTGACATCCATTTGGTGAAGCTCCAAATCAAAATGAGCCACCAAAGCCATTACGATCCTAAAAGATTCCTTTCTCGATACGGGTGAGAAAGTTTCATTATAATCCACGCCTTCCTTTTGATTATAGCCCTTTGCAACCAAACGAGCCTTATAACGTTCAATGTTTCCATTTGGGTCTAACTTTGTTTTATAGACCCACTTACAACCTATTGGTTTAACACCTTTAGGTAATTCAGTAAGCGTCCAAACATTATTTGTTTTCATGGATCTTAACTCCTCTTTCATGGCTTCATGCCATTGAGTTGATTGGTTGCATTTGATGGCATCATGAAAAGTGGTCGGATCGTCGTTCTTCCCTAAGTCAAAATCAGCTTCGTGTAGGTATGTGACAAAATCATCATAATTAGTGGGTCGTCTAGAACGTTGTGACCTCTGTAATGCCGGTTGAAGTTCTCGAGGTTCATCATTATAAACATCATTAGAAGCTTCATTGTCCGGTGCTTGATCAACCTCGGGAATATTAGTTGTCTCGTTTTGAGATTCAATATTTTCATTCGAGGTATCAAGTGGCATGTGAATAGGTACGGGCACATGTAAAATAGGCGCCTCTTCACATTCCTCTTGAAAATCTATAGATCTTCTAACACCGCTCCCACTGATGTTTGAGTTCTCAAGAAACTCGACATGTCGCGTCTCGAAAATTCTAGTGGTATGTGAAGGGCAATAGAAACGATATCCTTTTGAATGTTTGGGATATCCTATGAAATAACAACTAATAGTTTTTAAGTCCAATTTTCGCGATTGAGGATTATATAATTTTGCCTCAGCCGGACAACCCCACACTCTCATAAATCTTAAACTCAGTTTCCTTCCTGTCCATATTTCATATGGTGTTTTAGGAACAGATTTGGAAGGGACTCGATTGAGTATGTGGATGGCTGTCTTTAGTGCCTCGGTCCATAAAAAATCTGGGAGACTTGTATTTGCCAGCATACTTCGCACCATGTCCATTAATGTACGGTTTCTCCTTTCAGCAACACCATTTTGTTGTGGAGTACCAGGTATGGTGTATTGGTTGATTATCCCATTACTTTTACAAAATTCATAAAAGGATCCGGGACTTTGACCTAAATCGGTATGTCGGCCATAATATTCACCTCCTCTATCCGATCTTACAACCTTTATCTTCCAGTCAAGTTGATTTTCAACTTCGACCTTAAAGGTCTTAAACATCTCTAATGCATCAGATTTTTCATGGATCAAAAATAAGTACATATAACGCGAATAATCGTCAATAAAAGTTATAAACGATTTTTGACCTCCAATTCCCGCCGGGAAAGGACCACAAATATCAGTATGGACTAGCTCAAGCAATTCCATACTTCTAGTAGATCCTTTCTTATTCCCTTTGGTTGTTTTTCCCTTAATGCATTCAATACACTTTTCAAAATCCGAGAAATCAAGATTTGGTAAAACTTCATCTTTCACAACTCTTGTCATTCTCTCTCGTGATATATGGCCCAAACGTTTATGCCACAACATTGATGAAGTTTCTAAATCTCGTTTTCTCTTATTCTTCCTTACATTATCACAAACATTTAAAGACAATAAGGATTCCGAAAATTGGTTATCCAAACATAATTTATAAAGGTTTCCCTCTAGACAACCATAACCAACAACATCCGAATACAATCTTATTATACATTTATTATCACCAAATGTAAAATAGTATCCATAGTCATTTAATTTAGAAACAGATATAAGGTTTCTAGTAATACTTGGTACATATAGAGTTTCACACAGTTCTAATGTCGAACCACCTTCTAGTACTAATGAAAGTGTACCGACTGCTTCAACTCCCAAATCCAAGCCATTTCCGACTTTAACCGTCCGTTGGTTTCTTTCCAGCTTCCTTATTGTACGGAATCCCTGTAAAGAATTTGAAATGTGTACCATGGAAACGGAATCAATCCACCATGTATTAGAAGGTACATAAACATTAAGTGATTCACAAATCAAGAAATTAGAGGTGTTACCTTTCTTCGCAACTTAAACTTTGGACAATCCCTTTGAGTATGTCCCTTGTTACGACTATATTTTATATTTGAGAATTCCGTGGAATGTACTTGTACTTGCACCGGTGTTAGGGACCTTGTTCGGAGTGAATTTATCTCCCATCTTTCCTTTGCCCTTCGGGAACCCCTTCCTTTTCTTAGAGTCGGTGGTAGTAAGATGAGCGACATCGRGTTTTTCAACTTTTARTCRTTCTTCTTCTTGGACACACATGGCAATTAGTTCGMTCATCTTCCATTTCTCCCTTTGAGTGTTGTAATTGATCTTAAACGGACCAAACTGAGAAGGGAGAGATGTCATTATGAAGTGGACGAGAAAGCCTTCACTAATTTCCATGTCCATACTTTTGAGTTTGTTTGCCATGTCACTCATCATCATTACGTGCTCACGCACACAACCGACCCCATTGTACTTGGTAGTCAACATTTTTAGGATCAAGGTACTAGCATGGGCCTTTGAAGTCCCTTTAAATTGATCCTCTACAGAGTTAAGGTATGTTTTGGCATCTTCGGAGTCAGGGATGGCTCCTCGGATGGCAACAGAAATGGAATTTTTAATGATCATAAGAGACATTCTGTTTGATCGATCCCATAATTCATATGCCCTTTTTTCATCCGACGAACTTTTGTCGGTAAGGGCAGCGGGTCGTTCTAGTCTCAAAGCATGATCCAGATCCATAACTCCAAGAGTCAATTTTACTTGATCTCTCAAAGTGTTGAAGTTTGTACAGTTAGGGGTTCAATTCCGGATAAATATCCGGAATTTGTAGTTAAAGTAGATGCTGCCATAATAGTATAATTAAATGCATGCCCACATTTATAAGATGATACTATAATTTAAAATTCAGAATACAAGGTATTAAGCGTATCAGTAAAAAATAAAATTAAGCCTATTTAAAACATACAAAGCATAGGCGATATTAACATTATACTAGATTACTGATCTCTCGTTGGATCAATCAATAATGTAGTGTAATATCTCATAGAAAACTACGCATACATATCTTTCACATAGTACCGTTGGGTAAACAATGTAATAGATAGGCAAATCATGCTAAAATTCCATTATTTAAATCATCAAATAGGTTTCCGTTGGGTCTCCTAAATTTCAATCTAAACAATGTATTATATATTTATTTCACTTATTCCGGATAGGTTCTCGTTGGTTTCACTATCCAAAATAAATTTAATCTTGATTAGCATAACAATTTTAAGTATAAATTATAATACATATTTACAGAATCCAAATTTGCAATTCACTTTTCTTCTTCTCATTCGATTAGTGCTGTGTGTTTTTCACATATAAAAAATGCACCAAATTCATCAAGTATCGATAGACTTCCAGATTTATTAATTAAATATAGAAATAGAATTGGAAGTCATGTAACGAATTCACATATTATTTAAAAAAAAATACTCATTGTCGTAGATTCGTTTAAAAATTAGGGTTCATCATAATTAGGGCAAATCATGCATATATCAAGAACATGGCTCTGATACCACATGTTAACTTAATCCCAAACATATGCATAAGAATCCCTAATCAAACATGTGAATTCATATGATACAACAAATTAAGTAAAACTTACTTGGTGGAGTGTTTGTCTTTATTCCACTTGAAGAAGCCATGAAGAACTAATCTTGGTTTCCTTTTGATTGTTTCTCTTCGTTGCTTAATTGATGGATTGATTGTTCATATGTTTTGTTCCCTCTAATGATCAGAGAATTCCATTGAGAGTCTTGAGGGAAAAAACAACGTGAGAAAACAAAAAGGGATAACCACCACTATATATATGTAATCCAAGGGGTTCAACTCTCCATCAAATTAACTCCACTATATTTGCACTCAAGTCCCTCCAGAAAATTATAGGGACCAAAATGCAATAATGGAATAATATTAATAAAAATTATATATGTGTAAATAAACATACAAATGATCAAGGACATAATTTATAGGATTCCAACATAAGAACTTATGATGTTGAAGCAGAAGGTGTTAAAGAAAAACATAATGTAAAAGGCTTGGACATGGTTATGTTGTGTTTGAAAGGATAATGGATGAATTTGGAAGAGGGGATTGGAAGTGCAAACAGAAGCAACAAAAACCAACAAGCTAAGTCAAATTAATGGTTTACGTCACGAAGAAGCAAATTTCAGCGTCAAATCTAAATATCAAAATCTCTCTTTCTAATTCACTAAATCAGAGCATATTATAAAAGAACGAAGAATTGAAATGAATGACATGAACAAAACCTTGATATCGAACCACAAATGGTTAACACCATCGCTCATGACACCGTTTCTTGGCTCTTCTAGTCCTTTTCTCCGACATTACAGCCTATTTCGTAACTTTATGTTGGTTCAATAGTCATATTAGCATCCTTTAAACATGAAAACCAAAGAAGAAAATTAATTGTTGGCAATGTGCTTATGCATGAACAAATTGAACTCATGAACACAGTACATTGAAAAAGGAGCAAAAATCATTCAAATAACCATTAAAATTTAACTCATCTTCTTCATTTGTCCATTGCGGTTGAAATTTCCAGTAGAATGTAGGATTTGGCGATTCACATTTGGATTTTCCTTCAATAGATCCCCAAGGAGGTTTCATCGTATAATGATAGTTGTGCGAGATAACTAGTACTTGAGTGGTTACTAACAAAAGAAAGCTCAATCAATTAAAAAAACAGGTTATAAATCATTAAACTATTAAGGATTTCATAAGATCTTCTAGGTTATCTAGTGACATCAATATTCGATCACTTGTATTGAAACTTCAAAACAAGTAAACACATAGTATTAGCAAATGCAAGAGTAAGAACTACGAGTTAACCTAGCTTATTACCTAATAAGAATCCCAATATCCACATATAATTACAAGATGTTTCTAAGGAAGCACAATACACAATTCTGGATGTTCTAAAATGTGATATGATACTTTCTGGATCAAAGTTTCTCAAAGTGAATGTACACACCCTGATGTACCATTATGGCCAAACCCCGTATGGTTCAACTACAAAGAACACGATCTTTGGTTGAAAGAGATTCGAATGGAACCGTGACACAAACAAGGGGTTGAGGGAAGCAATTGAGAAGGAGTTTGAGAACTAAAAACAGTAAAAATCATTGGGAAAGATGGAGATCTTACGATGGCAAAAATAAAGAACAATAATCTAATCGATTCTCCGTCTATGTTGATGCGTTGAAACGATGCTTGGCATAACAAAACCTGTCGTGTAAAACTTCTGAATATTCTTTAGGTTTAACGACTTAAAAAATGGGTTGAATAGGTACATTAAGCATTATACAAGCAATCGATTATCAAAAATCAGAGCAGAGAAAGAGAAAGATCGAGAAGAAAATAATGATCGAAACACAAATAGAGATGAAGGAAATCAAACCTGAAAAGCGATGAAGTAATCTAACCTGGAGAGATGATCAGAATAAAGAAGAACATCAAAATTGATTCTTTGAAATCGATAAACCCTTTACCTCGGATAAAGTAATGGATGATCAGAGATGAAGATAAAACAAAACTGGAGAAAGTAGACGACCCTAATATACATTGGAGAATGATCAGACTGAATCGTTGTTTCTTGGCATGTTGGATTCCAATGAATATTCTCTGGGGGTCCCTTTACACGAGGAGTCGGTCTTGGGAAGACAAACCAATTTTACATCATATTTATAAGGTTGTACTTAATAGATTCTACGATTTTATGCATAAATCAGCAGTACATAATACATTAGAGGTTGTTTTTAAGACTTTAAATCTTTGTGCATTAAAATGTAGTACTTTATGCATTTAAAGTTGTTTTTAAGACTTTTTTTCAAATTTGGTTTATAAGATAGTATAGATATTTGAGGTTAATGATTAAAGTCAAATTTGAAATGATTTCAAAACTGTTTGATTGATTTTGGTATTTGATTGGACTAGTCAGAATTTAAGTATATGCAATTGTTAATCTGTAGTTTTCTACAAGAGGCTAGACCATTAAGTGCCTTCACTCATTTCTTTTGACCTGATCAATCAGAGGTCTTGAAGGTTTGCAATTGATGTTCTGAAAGTTCAGGATCAATTAGATCTTTGAGCGTTCTCAATCATTCTTCTAACCTGATTAATTATAGGTTTGAAAGTCTACAATCATTGCTCTAAAGTTATGGTTGTGATCTAGAGTTTTGAGTGTTAATAATCACTCTTCTGGCTAGGAATTTTGGATCTAATTTTGATTATTCAATCTACAAAAAGTTTAAAAGAAATATGGCTTATCTTTTCTGGTTGACTTGTTGTTCTTGAGGCCATGAGCTTAATGATGTTTCTTCTCTCCAATTCTCAATGTCAAAGGTGTTTGCTTTGGTTATTCAAGCTAATGTTGATACCTCATTGGATCAGGCTCTTAAGTTGAATGCTTATTCAACTCGTGGTTCACAGAAAGACTCTTTGTCATAAGACTGTTTGCAATAAAATGTCATGAAACTCACACATTTGTCTATCATATAGTTGGATGAATTAGCTTCTTGTGGGGTCAAGTGGCAATTATGAGGTTCAAATTTAGTGTTGTGTTTTCTGCTGATAAAGTTGCATTTTGTGCAATCAATGGTGTTGTGTTCACATTGAATCTTATCTTAAAGTTGAAACAGAAGAAAAAGTGTGGTATTCAGGGGGGGCTTGAAGACTTCATTAATACCAGGCACACCAAAGTTTTTTAAAAGAAAGCAGGGGGAGAAGACCTAAAGGCTTCATGATGATGCTTGCTTTATAAACTTTGGGGAGATATTGTTAGGACCAAAATTGCCCTAAACAATCTGAAAGTTTTATTAAAGCAATTCGGTCCAAGGACGGAAGATTCAGAGATCTGCATTGCTAAATCGACCAAGTCTGGAAGAGCAACCAAAGCTCCTCTGGACGAGCTATGCTTTGGAAGCTAAGTGTCAATACAACTAGAGCCCCTCTGGTTGAACTATGTGATAACTCTTATTTTTAAGAGTTATTTCTTATTTATTTTCTCCCTTTTTTGTTATTATTTAATACCCAATTTTCTTGTTTTTCCTCTTTTATTCCAAAAAGTTTTAAAAAGATGATGAAACACAAAGAAAGAAGTATTATTCCAAAAACCTATATTTTTCTGACAGCACTGCCCACTGTGGCACCACTGTGGGAAGTCTACGAGCCTTGTTGCTGCTTCTTGAGAAACGTGCAGCTTGAAGATTCATCCAGATATTTTCTCCAGCTGTTTATGAGTTGTATTCCTTCTTTTATTTTATTTTTATTTGTATTTTTTTAGCATTGTACTAATTACCCTTAAGGTAATGATTGGGTGTATCTTGCTCCCCTTCCTCTCCCCTATATAAAGAGGCTTGGGGAGTCATTTTGAACACACCACCAATGCACCAACAACACCAAGTAAGACACAAAACATCTTTTGTGTCTCACTTCTCCCTTTTCTTTCTTTTTATTATTAAGCTTTTTAATTTATCTCTTTAATTTATGTCGTTAATTTCTAGTCTAGTATTTTATTTCCTTGTACTTGTAATTTAGTTTTACATTAATGCAATTTATATTTTAGTATTATTTATGTCTTTAATTATTTCTATTATGTCTAGCTAAATTACTCGTATGGGTGTGGGNAGCTAAATTACTCGTATGGGTGTGGGTGTGAGTTTAACTTAGGATGTTTATATAATATTTGGGTGTTTTTATCTTTTATCACTTCGTAACTTGGTCACTTAAGACGGTACTTAAAATGCGGATAAGCTGATCACTTTAAAGTGTTAATATTAGATCTTAGACCCAGAGATGGGCGGATTTGAAATACGGCTTAAGTGATGCACAAGAAACTCGAGAGGGTCTTTGAATAATTATGTGGAGACGCGAATTTTGTATGCATCTAGCTAGGGGTTAAGCAATATGTATTTTTATCACAAAGAGATTTGGGTAAGAATCACATTCCTTTTACTTTTTAGCTAGATCGGCAAGTTTCGAAGTTGTAAACGTAAAAACCTTATGGAATTTTATGAGGCCCGGTTATAAAAGTTCACTTTCGAGAGATTGGAACTTTTATAAACAACTCGTAAAAGTCTAACCATTTTATTGTTCATTTTTTATTATAAGCAACACTTGCACCCATGCCCATCATTTAATATTAGAAGTTTATTTCGTTATTTAGCTAGTCGGTCCTATTTCGATCTTTTTATAAACAAAAATCCACTTTTTCTTTACATCTAGAAACTCGTGCAAGAAGTTCATGAAAAATCTCTGAATCTCAGTAGTACCTTCTCTGTGGGAACAATCTCGGTACTTTGTACCACTTTATTACTTGCAAGCGATCATAGTGTTGGCATGCACTTGCACCGCCACTGTGGGGACTTTTTGCCTACTAGGTGAACACGAACGATCCTAGCCTGTCAAGTTTTTGGCGCCGCTGCCGGGGAAGGTAACGCGATTTTATCCTGAGATATTGAATTTTAATTTGAGCCTTCTTTTGTTTCACTCGTACTTTCCATGTTGTATGCCAAGGCTACAATACGGTGAACTTCACCTCTTGATCTTGAATTAGAAAGAACCATTAGAAGACATAGAAGAGGTAGAAATAATCGTAACCATACCATGGAGGATAATCCACCTCCGCGGGAGGCCACGGTTAATATTGCCGATGATAAAAATAGAGGCATACGGGACTACGCAACTGCCGAATTCGGTCAGTTGGCCGCGGGAAGAGGTAAGCCCGAAATGACTGCGACAACTTTTGAACAAAACCGATAATGTTCCAAATGATTTCCGCAATGGGTCAGTTTGGGGGATTATCGTCGGAAGATCCGCACTCTCATTTAAAATCTTTTATATAAATGACAGATCATTTTAAAGTTCTTGGAGTCACACAAGAAGCCTTACGCTTAATGCTTTTCCTTTACACATTGAAGGATAGAGCTAGAACATGGCTAAATTCTCAACCACCAAACTCGATCCTAACTTGGAATGATTTGGCGGAAAAATTTCTAAAAAATACTTTCCTTCGACGAGGAATGTAAAAATTAGAAATGAAATTATGACGTTTCGACAAGAAGAAGATGAAGCGGTTTCGGATGCATGGGAGAGATTTAAGGACCTTCTACGGAAATGTCCTCATCACGGAATCCCTCATTGCATTCAATTGGAGACATTTTATAATGGTCTCTCCAGTTCCGCTAAAATTATTCTTGATGCAACGACCGGTGGTGCGTTCACAGCTAAGACTTACAACGAAGGACATGACATTTTGGAACGAATTTCAAATAATAATACCGAATGGTCAAATCCTCGTCCTGTTGTTTCTAAATCTGCTTTAGGCATCCATGAAATTGATGTCATCTCTGCTTTAAATGCTCAAATTGTAGCTTTAACTAATTTGGTTAAAAACAATTTACGTTTGAATGGAGAGAATAATAAAGTTCAATCCAAAACATCCAACCCACCTATGTCTGAATCTTGTGTCTTTTGCGGTGAGGGCCATTCTTATGAATATTTCCCCGAAAATCCCGTCTCGGTGAATTATGTTGGGAGTGATGCTAGAAATAGCTCATTTTCTCCCACATATAATTCAAATTGGAAGAACCACCCCAATTTTTCTTGGACCGGAAATCTTGGACTTCAACCCCCCAAGGTTACTCAAGTCCAAAATCGGCCACAAAATCCCCTAGGATATTGGCAAGGTGTTTCGCACAATTACCAAAATGGACAATCCTCACACTCACACATGCCTAGGTAAAATGCATCGGACGGTAATGGTTCACTCAGATCATTACTTAAAGGTTTTATAAACCAAACCAATGCAACATTAAGGAGTTTCGAAACCCAACTCGGCCAATTTGTCGTCGATCTCAAGGGTAGACCTTTAGGAACTTTTCCTAGTGACACTGAAACCTTGAAGGGTAAAGAACATATCAAAGTCGTGACCGTTTTAAGTGAGGAGAGTTCAAAAGTCAATGATGATACAAGTGAAACCGTCAAAGAACCGACACATCAAAACGAGGTTTCACATGCTTTTGATATGTCAAATTTTCCAATTTTGAGTCCTTCCATGGAAGAAACTCAAAAATATATTTCTGTCCAGAAAACAGTCCCTGTTTCAACTTCCAGTAATGTGCAGCTCTCTGCTGAAAAGCCCGACAGTGGGAAGATTGTGCCCACTGTCTAACCAACCAGCTCCAGATTTGTAGAACTTACCTTTTCCAGAAAGAATGAAAAGCAAAAAAGTGGACGGGCAGTTTAAGAAGTTTTTGGACATCTTTAAACAACTCCATATTAACATACCTTTGATAGAAGCTCTCGATCAAATGCCAAGCTATGTTGAATTTATAAAAGACATTTTGCATAAAAAGAGAAGGTTGAATGAATTTGAAACGGTTGCTTTGACCAAAGAATGTAGCGTGCTCCTTACTTGTAAAATTACTCCCAAGTTAAAAGACCTGAGAAGTTTTACCATCCCATGTTCTATAGGAGGGAAAGAAGTAGGTCATGCCTATGTGATTTAGGGGCAAGCATTAATCTTATGTTATTGTCAGTTTTTAACAAGCTAGGAATAGGTGAAGTCCGTCTAACGACCGTGACTTTACAATGGGCGGATAGGTCCATTGCGTATCCTAAAGGTAAAATAGAGGATATTTTGGTCCAAGTCGATAAATTTAATTTTCCAGCCGATTTTCTAGTTTTGGACTATGAAGCTGAAAAGAATGTCCCAATCATCTTAGGACGACCTTTTCTTGCAACCGGGAGAACATTAATTGATGTGCAAAAGGGGGGGTTGACCATGAGAGTTAGTGATCAAGAAGTGCAATTTAATGTGTTTAATTCTCTTAAGTTTCATGGAGAAATAGGCGATTGTTCAGTCATATCTGCTTTAGGTGAAGATCTAGAAATAAGTTTGATTGACGTTCCCTACAAAAATAACATTGGGGAAAATCTTGAGGACATTTTGGAAGAAAATGATGAGTTGGGATATTTGGAAGAGTTGGAATATTTGGAAGATTTAGCGGCATTTGAGCAACTTAACTTTAAGGATAGAATTGTCCAACCACCATCCATAGAGAATGCCCCTGATTTGGAGTTAAAGTCATTACCTAGTCACCTTAAGTATGTTTATCTTATGAAGGAGGAAAAATTACCCGTAATTATTTCTTCGAAATTAAGTAATGAGCAAGAATTGAGGTTGATAGAGGTATTAAAAGCTCACAAAAGAGCCATAGGTTGGACTATTACAGATATCAGAGGAATTAGTCCCTCCCTTTGCCAACATAAGATTATCTTGGAAGAAAATAGAGTTGGAAATGTGCAACCGTAAAGAAGACTAAATCCCATTATGAAAGAAGTTGTGAAGAAAGAAATCTTGAAGTGGTTAAATGCGGGTATTGTATACTCCATTTCCAGTAGCGGATGGGTAAGTCTGATGCAATGTGTACTGAAGAAAGGTGGAACCACGGTTATCATCAATGAAAAAAATGAGCTCATCCCTACTAGGACCGTCACCGGATAGCGGATTTGCATGGACTATAAGCAATTGAATCTAGCATCCAAAAAGGACCATTTTCCTTTGCCCTTTATTGACCAAATGCTAGATAGATTGGTCGGGAAAGAATATTATTTCTTTTTGGACGGATACTCGGGTTACAACCAAATTCACATAGCACTCGAGGACCAAGAGAAAACAACTTTCACTTGTCCTTTCAGAACTTTTTCTTTTAGGCGTATGTCGTTTGGTCTTTGTAACGCACCGGCTACCTTTTAATGGTGCATGATGTCAATTTTTTCGGACATGATTGAGGATACCATGGAAGTGTTTATGGATGACTTTTCCGTCATCGGTACATCTTTTGAAAATTTTCTTGACAATTTAAAGAAAAGTTTGGAAAGAGGTGAAACTCATGATTTAATTTTAAATCAGGAGAAATGTCATTTTACGGTACAAGAAGGAATCGTTTTGGGTCACATTATTTCTAAAAATGGTTTGGAAGTTGATAAAGCAAAAATTGAGGTAATATTGCAATTGCCCGAACCATTTTCGGTCAAAGGCATTCGAAGTTTTTTCGGATACGCGGGTTTTTACCGGAGATTTATTAAGGATTTTCTAAAATTGCAAAACCCTTGTGTAATTTGTTGCATGTTGATTAAACTTTTGAATTTACCTCCGATTGTAAAAAAGATTTTGAAACTATTAAAAAAGCTCTTGTCTCGGCACCTATTGTCATTGCCCCAGATTGGACCATGCTTTTTGAGGTTATGTGTGACGCAAATGACTGGGCCGTAGGTGCCGTTTTGGGACAAAAGCAAAACAAGATTTTTCACCCTATCTACTACGCAAGTAAAACTTTGGTGGAGGCCCAGTTAAATTATACCACCACAGAAAAAGAATTACTTGCAGTAGTATTTGCATTCGATCGTTTTTTATCCTACTTGATTGGCACCAAAGTTACCGTTCATATGGACCACTCTGTCATAAAAAATCTCTTTAATAAGATCGATGCTAAGTCGAGGCTTATCAGATGGGTTCTTCTTTTGCAAAAATTCGATCTAGAGATAGTTGATCGTAAGAGATGTGACAATCAAGTAGCCGATCATTTATCAAGGATCGAAGGCAAAGTGTCAAGCGGGGGAAACCATGTGATAAGAGAAACTTTTTCCGACGAGTACATTTTGGCAATACAAGAAAATCATTCGAATGAACTTCCATGGTATGCCGATATTGCCAACTACCTTGCTTGTGGGCTTAAGCCACATCATCTTCACGGTCAACGTTTTAAGAAATTTCTTCATGACTGTAAACACTACTTATGGGACGATCCATCTCTTTACAAAATAGGAGCAGATCAAGTCTTGCGGAAATGTGTCCCGAATTTTGAAATCCCATCTTTGTTGAAGGATTGTCATACTTCACCGTATGGTGGCCACTTTGGTGGACAACGTACGACGGCAAAAATCTTACAAAGTGGATTTTTTTGGCCTGCATTGTTTAAAGACGCGTTTAATTTTGTAAAGAGATGTGAGCAGTGTCAAAGAATGGAAAACTTGTCCCAACGAAACAAAATGTCTTTAAATAACATTCTTGAACTCGTACTCTTCGATGTTTGGGGCATTGATTTCATGAGACCATTTCCTATGTCTTTCAATAATCAATATATTTTGGTAGCGGTTGATTATGTTTCGAAGTGGGTGGAAGCTAAGGCATGCTCAAAGAACGATGCAAAGACGGTAATCGATTTTTTACATAAAAATATTTTTGTCCGTTTTGGAACTCTTCGAGCTTTGATAAACGATGAAGGGACACATTTTATAAATCGAATGCTATCGACCGTTCTCACCAAATACAACATCCAACACTGAGTAGCTATGGCATACCATCCCCAAACGAATGGTCATGCCGAACTTTCGAACCGATAAATTAAAAATATTTTAGAAAACATTGTAAGACCAGATCGTAAGGATTGGTCGCTCAAGTTGGATGATGCATTATGGGCATACCGAACCGCATTCAAGACCCCTATGGGAATGTCGCCGTACCAGTTAGTTTTTGGAAAAACATGTCACCTCCCGCTCGAATTGGAATATAAGGCTTTTTGAGCAATAAAGGAATTTAAATTGGACGCAAATTCGGCGGGAGCAAAAAGAAAACTCCAACTTAATCAATTGGAAGAATGGAGATTTCATGCCTACGAGAATGCCAAACTTTACAAGGAAAAAAACAAAATTTTGACATGATCGTAGGACAAATCGTCGAATTTTCGAAAATGGTCAAAAAAAATTTCTCTTTAATTCTCGACTAAAGCTTTTTCCCGGAAAACTTAAGTCGAGATGGTCTGGACCATTCATCATAGTAAATGTGAGAAAATTCGGAACTGTGGATCTTTTAAACCCTCAGGACAACACCACTTTTAAAGTTAATGGGCATAGGATAAAGCATTTCCTGCCGGAAGGAATAATCGATCCAACTCAATGATTTGTGGAAAAGAATTTCAAAAGTTGTAAATATTTTGAAATCAAGAATGGAGAAAAAGAAAAAAATAATAAAGGAAAATCTGGTGTTTTTGAGTAGACAGTGGGAAGTTTGTGCCCACTGTCTGGGTCATCCGAATTTTAAAGAGGAACCAGCTGCATTTTATTTTTCTTGTGTCAACAAATACATTCTTTTCTTGGTAATTGGAAATTGGCTGGAAAATGAGGTTTTTAAGGAAATGAAACATGATGTCACCTTAGGTAAACATAGGAGGATGTGAAAAGAGGGTTTGTGAGTCAAATCATTGGCTAAGAACATTCTTGGATGATTAGTCTTTGATAAGTGGGTTTTTGGACAAAAAATTTAGAAAAATAAATGGGAAGAAGGTGAAAGATTTTTTTTTAAAAATTTTCAAAGGTAGTGAAAAAAGTATGATTTTATTTTAAAAATGACAATTTTTGAAGAAATCTTGAAAATAAAATTTTCAAGTGTATATTTTCAACATATGTCTTTTTAAAATTTTAGGTAGAATACTTGTATTTTATACAAGTTCTTGTAACCTAAGGGGAGACATCATGATATGAGATCACTTTTTGGTCATCCTTTTCTTCTTCAAGAAACCGCCGGCCAAACTACCTTCTCCATGGCACGACCGAACAACCGGTGCACAACCAACCTTCCCGGCGTTCACTTCGTCGGTGACAGACAGTCGTCGCTTCCACCGCTGGTACCCCGCAGACAGCCACACCCACAACATCCTCATCGGCCGAACCTTCTTCATCGACGACGGGAGGATCTTCCACTGCCAGTGCCATCGCCGCGAGCACCATTGCCGCCTTCCGTGACCTCTCGCCGGCGACTGTAAGTCCTCCTCTACCCTCTTCATCCACAAAACTCACATCACCTCTAACCACAAATGTACTCTCTTACGATGATGATGGTATGGCTGTCCTCACTAGGGTGGCTTTATCATCTCATTTGGCCGAATCATCCTCAACCCCAAACCATTCTCCATTTCGTTGAGCACCTCTTATGCCCCACCCACTATTGCACCATCACAACCCACCCCTACACCCATTCCAAATGATGATGAACCAACCCTAGCCCCTTCACACACGGTTTTCTCAAATCACTCATGGTTCGATTTGAACCAAATGGGGGAGGGTGAGGATGAACATTTAGACGATATCACATTTGATTTTGAAGGTATA